CATGGAATTTGCAGGGAAATGGATGGTATTAGAGCAAATTATGCTAAGTGAAGCTAGCCAATCCCTAAAAAACAAATGCCAAATGTCTTCTTTGATATAATGAGAGCAACTAAGAACAGAGCAGGGAGGAAGAGCAGGAGGAAAAGATTAACATTAAACAGAGACATGAGGTGGGAGGGAAAGGGAGAGAAAGGGAAATTGCATGGAAATGGAATGAGACCCTCATTGTTATACAAAATTACACATAAGAGGTTATGAGGGGAAGGGGGAAAAAAAACAAGGAGAGAAATGAATTACATTAGATGGGGTAGAGAGAGAAGATGGGAGGGGAGGGGAAGGGAGATAGTAGACGATAGGAAAGGTAGCAGAATACAACAGTCACTAAAATGTGGATGTGTAACCGATGTGATTCTGCAATCTGTATTTGGGGTAAAATGGGAGTTTATAACCCACTTGGATCTAATGTATGAAATATGATATGTCAAGAGCTTTGTAATGTTTTGAACAACCAATAAAAAAAATTTAAAAAAAAATAAATAAAAAACATTCATAATAAAATACTAGCAAATCATATACAAAAACATATAAAAATACAGTGCACAATGATCAAGTGGGGTTCATTCCAGGGATGCAAGGTTGGTTCAACACATGGAAATCAATAAATGTAATTCACCACATCAATAGACTTAAAGACAAGAATCACATGATTATCTCAATAGATGCAGAGAAAGCATTTAACAAAATATAGCATACATTCATGTTCAAAACACTAGAAAAACTAGGGATAGTAGAAACATACCTTAACATTGTAAAAGCTATATACATTAAACCAAGGCCAAGATCATTCTAAATGGAGAAAACCTGAAAGCATTCCCTCTAAAATTGAAATAAAACAGGGATGCCCTCTTTCACCACTTCTATTCAACAGTCCTTTAAACTCTAGTCAGAGAAATTAGGCAAAATTAGAGGGACACAAACAGAAAAAAAAAAAAAGAAAAAGAAAAAAAGGACTCAAACTATCCCCATTTATTGACAACATGATTGTATATTTTGAAGACCCCCCACAAAATGCACTAGATAGCTTCTAGAATTCATAAACAAATTCAGCAAAGTAGCAAGATATAATATAAACACCTATAAATCAATAGTATTCCTATATACCAATGATGAATCAGCTGAAAGACAAATTAACAAAATTATCCCACTCACAATAGCCTCAAAATAAAATAAAATAAAATAAAATACATGGGAATCAATCTAACAAAAGAGGTAAAAGACCTCTACAATGAAAACTACAGAATACTAAAAAAAGAAATTGAAGACCTTAGTAGATGGAAAGTTCTCACTTGTTCTTGTAGAGGTAGAATGAATATTGTCCAAATGGCCATACTACCAAAAGCATTATACAGATTAATGCAATTCCCATTAAAATTCCAATGATGTTCTTCATAGAAATAGAAAAAGCATTCTTGAAATTAATTTCGAAAAATAAGAGGCCCAGAATAGCCAAAGCAATCCTTAGCGAGAAGAGCAAGGCAGGAGGCATCACCAGACCTTAAATTATACTAGAGAGCTATAGGAACATAAATAGCATCGTACTGACATCAAAACAGACATGAAGACCAATGAAACAGAATAGAAGACACAGAGACAAACCCACATAGATTTAGTTATCTCATCCTGGACAAATACAACATAAGCATACATTGGAGGAAAGATAGCCTATTAAACATATAGTGCTGGGAAAATTGGAAATCCATATGTAGCAGAATGAAATTGAATCCTATCTCTTACCCTGYAAAAAACTCAATTTAAAATGGATCAAGGGCCTAAGCATTAGACCAGAGACCCGGCACCTACTAGAAGAAAATGTAGGCCCAACTCTCCATCATGTCAGCTTAGGAACCAACTTCCTCCACAAAACTCCTAAGTGCAAAAAAGTAAAATCAAGAATCAATAAATGGGATGACATCAAACTAAGAAGCTTCTTCACAGCAAGGAAATGATCAAGAAAGAACATAAACAGAGAACCTACAGAATGGAAGAAGATCTTTTCTACCTGCACCTCAGATAGAAGATTAATCTTCAGTACATATGAAGAACTCAAAAAAAATTTAGCACCAAAAAAATTCCAATCAATAAATGGGAAAAGGAACTAAACAGACACCTCACAGAAGAAGAAATATTAATGATCAACAAATATATGAAAAAATGTTCAACTACCCTAGCAATTAGAGAACTGCAAATTAAAACTACACTGAGATTTCATCTCACTCTAGTCATAATGCTCATTAAAAAAGAATTCAAGTAACAAATGTTGGTGAGAATGTGGGGGCGGGRAAGGTTGAGTTATACATTGCTGGTGCAATTACTCTGGAAAACAGGATAGAGATTCCTTGGAATGGAACCACCATTTGACCCAGTGATCCCATTCCTTAGTATATACCCAAAGGACTTTTTATAAAGGCATACTGCAGTGACACAGTCACATCAATGTTTAAAGAAGCTCAATTCACACTAACTAAACTATGGAACCAACCTAGGTGCACTTCAACAGAGGAATGGATAAAGAAAATGTGATACATTTATACGATGAAATATTACTACACCATAAAAATGAATGACTTTATGACTTTTGCTGGTAAATGTATACATCTGGAGACTATAATGCTAACTAAAATAAGCCAATCCCCAAAAAACAAAGGCTGAATGTTCTCTCTGAAATAAGAATGATAATACACAATAAGGCAGTGGGGAACAGAAGTTCACTAGACAAAAGGGAATGAAGGAAAGGGAGAAGGATGGGAATAGGAAAGACAATGGAACGAATCTGAGATAACTTTCCTATGTTCGTGTATGAATAYACCACCAGTAAAATGCCACATTGCACACGACCACAAGAATGGGGTCCTAATTAGAATAGACTTATCCTAATAAGTCTTATTAGAATATACACTCTACAGTCATGTATAGCTAAAAAGAAAAAAAAAGAAAAATACTCTTGCTAGTTTCACATTATACTAAGAAAACAATATTCTTTTCCAGATGTTCAAAGGCAAAATATAATTTGATTAACTGCATTAGTGTGACTTCACTGTGTGTCACCCTCCATGGCTCCAGCCAAGGTGGTTCTTTTTTCTCTCAAAGACATTCAACTCATTACTCAGTTAATATCTCTGCAGTAGGAATTTTCTTTATCTGAAAAGTTTGGTCCAAAAATTCTTGCATACCTGATTTGTCATGATATCCAGGCTTCAACTCAAATATCTTCTCAACTAAGTCTTCCTAATGCAATCTAAGTTCACTACTTCCCTCATAACTACTATTACCACCAGTAAATACTTCAATTACTTACCTTTTTCCTGTCCTTCCTTCCCTAAAATAGTATAAACTTCACATGCTTATATAATTATTTGCTTTATTAACAATCTACCTGGCTCATTATCTGAAATGATTTTTAGTTCTGCTTTTACCTGCTTGGTCAATTTCTGCTTCAACTTCCAGCTTTAAGAATACATCTTCCAAAGTTGTCATGGATACACCATAAGAAATAACACCCAAATTTGAATGAATGTCRAGAGCAGAAAACAAACCTAAAAGAAAACCAATGATATAATGGAATATACTTAAGTATGCTATCATGAGTTATTCTAAAATATCATTTAAACATAGAACATGACTAAGTTTACTCAGCTACCACAGCAGTTCTCAAACTTTTGGGTGTCAGGACAATTAAATTGCTAAAGACCTCAAAGAAATTTTGTTTATGGGCTACAGGCATTCGATACATATCATAAGTTTAAACAAAGAATTATTTTATACTACTTAAAATTAAGAATGTTAACTATATTAAAATTGAAACAATATATATAAAAAAATAATTTAAATATTCATTATAATAAAATAAGAAAAAATTATATGCTAATATAATTTTATTTTAAAAATTATTTTKGGTTGGGGATGTGGCTCAAGCAGTAAGTAACATGATCGCCTGACATGCGCGGGGTACTGGGTTCAATCCTCAGCACCACATAAAAATAAAATAAAGATGTTGTGTCCACTAAAAACTGAAAATAAATATTAAAAATTTCTCTCTCTTCTCTCTCTCTAAAAAAAAAACAAACTATTTTTTCAGGAAAAAAGATTAGTGAAAAGAGGACATTGTCTTCTCCCTTAAATGTATGTCATAGCAGAAGCAGATGGGTTCTTATATGTTTTTACATTCAATCTTCTATGATAGCACACGTCATGATGTCTCTGCAAAACACTATACAGGAGAATCTGAGGGTCAAAAAGGAAAATATCACCTTAGTATTATTAGAAAAAAGGGTTGACTGCATAAAGTGCCTCAAGAGGTCTTCTAGTCCATCCCCTTGGAGTTCCCAGAAGAGACTTTTGAAATAGTGTGATAATTTATTAAAGAAAATCGAGAGGCAACAAAGTGAAAGACATGAGTCCTGGAACCAGTCAGCCTTGGGTTTAAAATTAAGCTCCACCACTTTCCATCTGGGTTACTCTGTGCAAGTTCAATAAATCTCTCTGTGCTTCAGTTTCCTTGTTTGTGAAATGGAAGCAACAGCAGTATTAATCTCATGAACTTTTTAAAATATCAGGATGACTAAACAGATTGTAAAAGGCATAGATTGACATCTGACACAGACAAGCTCTATATAAATGTTATTAAAGAATAGGAAATAGGTTTAAAAGGACAGGTTGTTATGCAAAACACACTAAACTGGCACATTTTCATCAATAAAGTTAATTAGTGATTTATTATTTTCTATAATAGTTTGATTTGAAAGAAATCAAACTATTATAGAAAATGTTTTTTCTAATTATGAAATGAATACTATGGGAATTTTGTATAACATACCTATATCAGTAAGATACTTTTGGCCATAAACATGTCTCTTAAACAGAATAAGAAGACTGAGTTTAAGTTCTTTATTATAAAGTTGAAAAATAATGTCTAAATTAAAATAATTATAACGTTAATACTTCATTAAAATAATTACCATATCATTCATTATGAAATTAGAAAATGATTTGAGAACATATACAAAGAAATCCACATACACACCATGCACATACATGCACATATGCCTTACTCCCACCCAGGAAGCCAATAAGCAAACTTTGAGCAATTCATTTTTTTCTTGACAATAAAGTAAACATAATTATTTTTATATTTTTCTTACATTAAGTATTTTAAGTGAACATTAGTTATGGTTTCCCACATAGAGTTTGTAAAACACATACATATGAGCAAGCACACATAAATTAACATGTAGTATTTCATGATTTCAAAAACAATATAACTTTGGCTACCTGGGAACATGGAAACATTATACAAAGAATTAAATAAAAACAGGAAATCAGGAAAAAACTATTCTTAATACAAAATCTCTGTTCAACAAGCAAGAAACTGAGAGAAATACCTGAAAATTTGTCCATGTCTTTTAAAGGCAAGCTGTACACAAGCTGTTGGTCATTCTGTTGTAGTAAAGTAGCCCCAGGGATATGCTGTCTAACCAATGAAGTAAGAGACTCCGTGGCACAATATCTGTCTATGTACATGCTAGAAAACCAAAAGTCACAGTTTTTATGGTTGTTCAATAAACAGCCAAAAATAAAATCTGAAGACTTTAAATTTAGCCTTATAAAAGATGGTTAAGGCATACTATGGCAATCCCTAAAAATAATAACAGTAGAAGAAGAGCAAATATAAATAGTAATGTCAATAAAGAATGAATGGTACCTGAGGCGGTAGCCAATCCCCCATTTACTTTTAAGGAAAATTGAAGAACCAACACATTTCAGCATTCCCTGTGATATGACAGCTTTYCTATCTGCAAATAGAGATTTATATTTCAATTATTAAGTTAATAACAGGATTAATAGTTGGCATTTATATATTATAGATTATTATGAGAGACACCCAAGTATGACCTCATTAATCATAACCACCACCTATGAAGAGGGTACTAGATTATTATCACCTATTTTTCAGATGAAAATAGAGGCAGTAAGAAAATACATTGCTTACACATTTCACATAACTATTCCATAACAAAGCCAGTAGCTGCACCCAAGCAGTCAGACTCCAGGGTACACTTTAGAGTAGTCCAAATAGATCAGACTCTTTCTCAAAGGCTTGCTAATATAGGAATTTTCATGGGTTTCCTTTATAACCAAATGCACAAAAAAAGCAACAGCAGTACCAAAAACAAACTATTAGTTTGTTAAACATTTTAAAGAAAAAGATACTGTTGAAGAGATGAATGACATCTAATTTATTTGATGATGCAAGCTGAAAGAGGTTGCTTTAGAATTTCAAACTCCTGAATCTTATCATAGATATTAAAAATGATATGCTAAGTCAGGCATGTTTGCCTGTATGTTTACTATAATAAATCACATGAGAGGCAGAAGGATCACAAGTTCAAGGCCAGCCTTAGCAACTTGGCAAGATCCTATCTCAAATTAAAAGATAAAAAGGGGCTGGGGATGTGGCTCATTCATAAAACAATCCTAGGTTCAATTCCCAGTACCCCTCCAAAACAAACAAACAACAACAACAACAAAAATTCAAGACGATTTTTCACATGAGTGGCTACCACTCAATGCATACTGTGTGACTCCATGGGAAGGGACTATGCCTGGTTTCCTCCAGACTTRGCCCCATGTAATTTATTCTTTGCTGATTTCACTTTTTATCTTTTTGCTATAATAAATTATAGCCCTGAATATAACTATATGCTGAGTCCTGTGAGTTATCCTAGAAAATCACTGAACTGAGTGGTCTGAGGAACATTCAACACAGAAATATATAGTTCTTAAAGTTTTAAAAACTTTTTTGAATAGAATGTACACRACCACATTATAGCTTCTCTATTTATTCCTCAGGATTTAGGGGTTTTATGTCTATCTCTCTTTTGATCCATGACCTTATCTTTTAAAAACAAAGCAAAAACTCACCAGCAAGAATGTCAGCTTCATCCATGAAGTGAGTACTAAACACTATCACCCGATTGGCTTTTCTGTATTTTAAAAGATTCCAAACAATATGACGGGAACAAGGGTCCATTCCAGCTGTTGGTTCATCCAGCAATAGTATCTAAATGACAGAGATGCGGAAGAGCAAGAAACTAAAATATTTAAAATTTATGTAGACAATGAAACAGTTCTCATTTTCAAGTTGTTTTCAATCAGAAATAGATTAGTTTTTCACTCCTCTTTGGGTTTGTGAAATCAAAAAATTATGATAAATACTTTCCTTGACACAAAAGACTAGTGTCTATAATGTTTAAAACATTACTGTAACAATCAGGCAAACCAAACAAACAAAAATTAAGTTATACTGCTATTATACTTAATAATTAAATTTGTAGACATAACAATTACTTTTTAGAAAAGWATGACAAAAAATAGCACAAAACAAACACATGCAAAATCAAAGTAGCAGTATAGTGACAAACTAACCTACTCCCTTGATTTTTTCCTATTTTATTATGAACACTTAGAAATGTATAATAAAAGCAATAATAAATAACACAACAAAATTTTAATAGCTATAATTCAAGTTTAACAAATACTATTTTGGCCATATTCAGTTTTTTGGGTTTTTTTTTAGATATTGAGTCTCATTATACTGCGGAGGTTAGTGAACTTATGGGCGAAGTGATTGTCCTGTCTTAGTTTCTTAAGTAACTAGGACCAAAGGCATGAGCCACTATACCCAGATAGTTCTTTTTTTAAAAAATAAAACACTGCAGACATTAATGGAGTCTGTTCTACTCTCCAGTATAATGATACTTAATATCATTCTCATAAACCCATGACAATGCACAGTATTTTGGGTGTGTTTAAACTTTACACAAGATATATCTTTCCACAACCTGCTTTTTATCTAACATAATTTAAAGCAATCTCATTTGTGAAACTAATATTTATTTACCTTTGGATTCCCAAGAACAGCAATTCCTAAAGACAATTTTCTTTTTTGGCCACCACTTAGTTTTTTAGCTTGGTTATCTTTGATAGGCTGCATGTCTAAATCTAGTAAAACCTTTTGCACCTGTGAAAATACAGTATAAATAATGTTATTTTTTAAATCACATCATTTAAATAATTATTAACATTAGTCTGTATTTTAAGTTTTGAAGTATTTTTTTAAATTATTAAATATTTGAGTAATATGTTTTAAAATAATTCTAACATCGAAATTTAAAATATTTTTTTGTGGAATTTTGTTTACAATTTTGAAAACAACAAGTAAGATGATTCTTGAAGAAATGATCTGGTTTTACTTTTGCGAATTCCTGGGTAATGGGAAAGGAAAAAGAAGAGATCAGTGCAAAGGTGCTGGGTATGTGGGGGTTGGAGATATGAATGTGGAGAAGAAAAGGAAAGAGAGGCACAGAGATGAGGGGAAAAGAGAAACAAGTGTCCTCGAAATGAAACAGGACTATTTTACACGTATTAAGACATTTACTCCAAATTATGTCTAATTCTTTCTAATAACTTTGTCTACTAGCTTAGAATATTTTTTTTTCAGAACAGGTTTTATATTTAGATTTGCAAACATAAGTTTATTGTATCGGTTATTATAAAAGGTTATTAATTTACAGAAAACATAATGAATATTTATACATGAATAATATAACATACTTCTTGTATTATATTGTTGGCTGGTATTCCTTTGATTGAAGCCAAGATAGATAAATTTTCTTCAACTGTCAAAACATCAAAGTGTATATCTAACTGTGGACAAATGCCAATCATTTTTCTTGCTTCAAACATTTCATCTATTTCTGAGACTCTGTGTCCATATATAGATGCAAACCCTAAAAGCAAAATATATATTGAAATTTATCTTAAAAAAAGAAGTATTAAAAATGCATATGCTTTGATATATCCTAATAACTTAGGTATGTGGTCTCAATAGATAAGAACGAATATAAATTTGCAAGATACACCACACCCACATTTCCATATTACTGTAATATGCTTCCACTTATATTTGCCTTCACTTGCAGGTCATATTACATAGTCGAAAGTATAAGGAACTATAAGCTGAACACAAAATACACATATGTACTGGTGCTCTAGTTATATTCCAGTAATAATTTTCCTTCATTTTCAGATATTATGTATTCCAGATATAATGCAATAGTGAAAAGATCAAAGAACTAAAAGTTTTATACTACTGTGTGGTCTTGAACAAATTATTTAATGTCTCTGAATCCCAGTTTTTTTTCCCTCTATAAACTGAATACCAACATATCCCACTTAAGAACTGCTAAATTAATGTGATGTATGGAGAACTGTAACAAAAATCATGTATCCTTAAATGAATGTAAGATATTATGACTAACATTGAAAAGTTGTACAATTAAGAATAAAAATAAAACCAAACTAACTTTAAAAGTTATACTACATTTAAAAGATTTATAGAGTAAACATACTTTGGCCATTCTGTAAAATAATATGTGCATTTCACTGCCAAGCTATCTGGTTACTGTGGAAACATGGTGCTTCCATATTGAATTCCCACTGTTACATGCCAATCTCACATTCACAGATCAAAACTATACCTTTGAAGTACTGCTCTTAAATTTTTTATTTTAGAAGATGACATTGATATTTATCATTATTTCCTTATGAACTGTTACTATATATTTAGAAATTTGTGTTTATTTTCTCAACCTGAATCAGTCTAAAGATCTGACTTAAATTTCAGTTAGTTATGAATTTATCCTCCCTTAAAGAATATACATGTATATACCATATAAATGTGATAAAAATAGGTACAAAATTAGATCCTTTTGACTTTATTAAACAAGGACTCATTTATAATTTCTATTGAAAAACAAATGTATGTTATAAAGAAAAAGAGAAAACACCTACATAAAAGTGGGTCCTAAATCACTTAAAGGGTAAATAATTACAGTATATTGTGATATCTTGGTTAAATTCAATGAAGTAAGAAACTTTTTTAAAATTAGAAAACTCTCACCATCAGAAGGGGGGCATAATCCACAGAGAATATTCATCAAGGTACTCTTTCCTGTTCCACTGTGGCCAAGAAGTGCAGTAATCTGACCTTCATAGATGTCAAAGGACAAATCTAGGTTAGGAAGAAAGAAGACTCAAATGTGATTTTTATTTCTGTCCAACTATACAAGGTAATTCATAATACTTGAACAATCTTATAATAAGGCAATAAAGACATATTTAAAATTACCAGCATATTTTACAGTAAGTTAAACTGCTTCTTTGTTATAATCAAGGGTATAAACAGTAAGTAAATAAAAACAAACATTATTTTGTTATATACAGTGATACTTAGGGTGAACACAAATATTGAGAGTTTTTTTGTATACTGACTTTTAAAAATTTCCAAGGGAATGAAACAAAAATTTATCCCTAGAGGTATTTATATACATGTTAAATACACTGGCAGAAAAAAAAAATACTAGAAATTAACCAAAAGTACAGAAGTGACTAATTAAAACTTAAAAGATTCAATTTAATGAACAGGTATCGCTGTGAGGAGGTATAGATGACTGCAGGAAAAGAAGGATGGGGATCTAAAACGATGAAGCAGAAATGCATTGGTCAGTGAATAAGGCTGAAACACAGAACAAAGAGAAAAAGAGCTCATATCCAAATCAGTAACCCAACTTAAAAAGGAAGGGAAACAGCAGACAAAATACATTGTATCTGAAAGTACAGTGTAGGAACTGAGGATGTGGTAAGAATCATGAATATGATTTCCCTCAGCGGAGCAGAAAGAGACACTGATAAGCTACACACACACACACACACACACACACACACACACACACACGTTGCGTATACACATTAACTCAAATTGAAACAGCTTAATAAAATATCCTGTTGAGGTATTATAATTACTTCATAGAAAATTAAAGTCAGGTTAATATTATGTTTATATATAAATAAACCTAGATGAGTTCTATTATCCAGATAAATACAAGGTCCATTATCTGACCATCTTCTTGTGTAAGAAAAAGAAAAAAAGTAGTAAGTCAATGAGGTATTGTGATACAGTTACAAATCCTCAGAAATCATAGTGCATATTAAATAAGGAAGAAAACTATACATGAGCTGAGCATAGAGGCATAACCACTATGTTTACAGGGTTCAGTACCTCTGTTTTGGAAGATTCCCTTCTCTCCCTCAGTTAGGTAGTGAGTGTTTTAAACAGTTATTCCTCCAGCACCACAATAACCTACACACTAGTTTAGAATCTGTCACTCTGAATACTGAAGACAGTAGGCTCCTATGTCCTTTACCTGAGTAACTCCAACTTTGTAACTCAGAATGAATACTGAGTTCCCTTTAGAGACATTATGGTGCGCATCCCAGCCAATGGTTGAGTTTCCCCCAGACATTCTTGGGTTTCAAAAATAGACACTAACACTTGGAACTCACTTACTTCCCTTCATGGTGTTCTGATAYGAGAGAGAGATCAGTGAGGCCCAAATGGTTTATAGGACAAACACTATAATCTTCTCTTTAGTTAATACATATAAAACTGTAATACTTTGATTATAAGGAATTAAATTCATTTTTTAGGACAGATAATAGTTTTATTTTTAACAAACTTACTAAGATGTCAATTTATATGCTATGGAGTATTAAAGTACTATTATTAGGGCTCAATCCCTAGGCAAAAAGGCCGGAGTTAGAGCCACATACCTACTGGCACAAAAACTTTTGAGTAGATACATCACACTGAAAGGTTAATAAAATAGGTACTTGTCACTCCATTTCTCTATATGCTTAACAAAACACTGTTGAAATCTTAAGAACTGTTTGCTAATCTTGTTCCCAGAATGTGCTGTCCCCAACTATGGACTGTCTGCTAATCTTGTTCCCAGAAAGAGCTGTCCCCAACTTCCAAACTACAAAATGTAACTTCTCTCCCTGCGCTCTCTAGGGAAAGTATATAAGCTCTGCTCAAGCTGTTCTCAGGGCTCTATCTCTCTTTGCTATAGAGAGCTCGGGCCCCAGCATGCTGGTCTCCAAATAAACCCACCCTTCTACTTTTGCATAAGACAGTCTCTTGTGGTCTCTTACTCCGACGTTTCGCCGGACCCTTACATTACAATTCCCTTCAATCTAGGATCACAGAAAAATAGGAATCATCTGCCATGTCTCACTATATATGAAGGACTGGAATCAGGCTCCACTACAGAGCAAAGCCTTTACTTATTCCCAGACAAAGATGTAATAAAGGTCCCCATCTTTGGATTCTCCCCTATACTCAGTAATGAAAATTCAGTATCACGTATTAGTACAATTTATATTGTTAATCCAAATTGCTTGAAGGATAAAGCTGTCTACCTGAATCATTACTCCCAGGAATRGCAAAGTTGACAGTTTAAACCAATTATCTTTCTAAGAAAAGGAAAGCTGACCAAAGTATTAAAAAAACATCTGTTTGAAGGCCTTGGAGAGCTAGAGCATAAAAGACTGAGGGGTAAAGATATGAGGAAAGAGCAAGGCTAAAATAACTGCCAATTCTAGTAGGTAACAGGCTGACCAGCGTTTTGAAGACACAGAACTGAGGCAACAAAGAGTGGAACTCTGGAATGCCAAGCATGAGAGAGACTTCAGAAAACCTCTGAGGCTTCTGGTTGGGACCTCAAAGGACTAAACTTAGGAAAAAGGGTAAATGAGGAGCACTCCAGTCATCACAGAGACAAACACCAGGCTTCAAGTCATTTTAGCCCTGACTGGAGAAGATGAAATGAGGTTTCTGGTATCTACAGAGCTACAGGCCAGAAGCAAAGATAAACACTCTCCAAAGGAGGATCACATCACACAAATATTAAATTATCTGGGTACCTACAATTATCCAAATGCCATGTGTAGCATTCAGTCAAAAATAACCAGAATTCAAGATAAGGCAAAAATCCAATAAAATAGGCAAGCAATAGAAATAGACCTACTGGAGGTGCAGATATTGGTGTAATATTACAAAGATTTTAAAATAACTATACTATCATGTTTACAAGAGAATGTCAGAAAAGACTAGAAACTACAGTGCATTCATGCACACACACACACATACACACACACAGAAAGACAAGAACCAGAAAATTTTTGAAAAAAAACATAAAATTTTTGAAAGACAATTTATCGTGAGAGTAGACCCAACTAAAAAAAAATTTAGTGAATGACAAAAATCAGAAAATATATCTAAAGCACAAAGAAAAAGAGTAAGCAAATTGTATTAAACATGCTGAATGAAAGTAACTGTCAAGCTTAAAATTATATATCCACAGATATACCCTTTAAAACTGAAAACTGAATAGAAGATGATTTCAAACAAAAATTTAGACATTGTATCACTGGCACATCCATATTAAAGGAAATATTAAAAATGTCTTCATGGAGAAGAAAAATTAGAAGATCAGCTGCAAAAAATAATGAAGACAAATGATATGGTAAATGTAAGTAAATCTAAATGAATTGTCTTGTAAAACAATAGTATTGTTTTTGTTTTAAATATATTTAAGTATAAAAATATATGAAAACAATATTAAATAAGTTGGAACAAAGAAAAAATATAGTTGTGGCCTAATTTGGAGAAAAGTAAAGCATTAATTTATAAGTCAAAGATATCTAACATGTTACATAATCATTTTAAAAAAAGATGTATAACTAAGAAGCAAACAGGGACAGTGAGAAGTAAAATAATAAAAAWTTTTCCAGTGCTTCTGGTGCAGCTAACCTGTTAAAGGATGAGAGATTATGGGAAAAAAAGGCATATAAACCCACCTACAGCCACTAAGGCTAATATGAAACCACTATCCGGGCCACCAAGAACTTGTCAGCCAAACCAGAGACTCCTTAAAGTATAGCAAAATAGTGGCTGCCTAAATCTTTAAACTTTGGGGTAGTTAAAATGCATAAATAGGTAACTGATTGCATGTTAAGAAACTAGAAGTAGCAAAACAAATTATTAAAACTACGCTGAGATTCCATCTCACTCCAGTCAGAATAGCAATTAAGAAGAATACAAGTAATAACAAATGTTGATGAGGATGTGGAGGAAAAGGCACACTTACACATTGCTGGTGGGACTGCAAATTGGTGTAACCACTCTGGAAAGCAGTATGGAGATTCCTCAGAAAACTTGGAATGGAACCACCATTTGAACATTTATACCCAAAGGACTTAAAATCAGCATACTACAGTGACATAGCCACATTAATGTTTATAGTGGCTCAATTCACAATAGCTAAGCTATGGAACCAATATAGGTGCCCTTCAACAGATGAATGGATGAAAAAAATGTGGCATATATATATATATATATGTATGTATATACTTATATATATAAATATATATGTATATATACTTATTTATATATATATACTTATATATACTTATATATGGCACATATATATACTTACATATATATATACTTATGTACTTATATATATGGCATATATATATATATATATACTTAGTAGTATTCCATATATGACAGACTTAATGACATTTCCTGGTAAATGGATAGATTTGGAAACTATCATGCTAATCACTTAATAAGCCAATTCCCAAAATACCAAAATGTGGAGAGCAGTGATAGAGAATGGGAGAGCAGTGTCTGACATTGGGGTCTTTGATGACTTCATGGTTGTGGCATGCCTGGTGTCTGGGAAAGTTTCTGTGCAAAGGTGCAGGATGCCTAGCTGCTGTGGTAATGCCCCCATGAGGAGGCTCTGTGCTAGAGTCCTATAAGCCTCGACCTTGATCTCAGGCACACAGCTCCTGGGAATAAAGAAACTTTCTAGCTAGAGGACCACAATATTTCACCAGCTCCGCTGCTCCTGAACCTGCCCTYGTAAGAGCAACACTAAACAATGGACTTCATTGAGACCTCTACAAAGCTCCTAACATTGCTCATTACAACTGTAGGATGTAACTGTGGAATAAACTGCATAATGTTGTTAACTGTAACTTTCCTGAATACAAAGAAAAATGCTTACATAGTCTTTAATCTGATAATGAGACATATATAAATAAAGACTGCTGGCATAATTCTTTAGACCTGCTTCTCCAACCGAGAGCAGAGCTCCACCTGACCCCTGTTATCTTCAAAATCTGAGACTGTRGTCTTTATTTTTCTTATCACTCTTCACCCTCATGGGAACCTGCTATATTGGCCTGCTATATTGGCCACTGGTGTGGCACCGAAGGCCAAATGTTCTCTTTGTTATGCAATGCCAACACACAACAAGGGCAGGAGGGGAAGAACAGAAGTTCAGTGGATTAGACAAAGGGGAATGAAGGGAAGGGGGGATGGGAATAGGAAAGACAACGGAATGAATCTAATATAATTTTCCTATGTGCATACATGAACACACCACCAGTGAACTTCACATCATGTACAATCATAAGAATGATATCCTAATCAGAATAAGTTATACTCCATATATATATAATATATCATAATACACTCTACTGTCATGTGTACCTAAAAGAACAAATAATAAAAAGGAGAAAAAATTAAACATAAAGAAAGCCATAATAAAAAATAATCAAGAATATAAATCAATAAAATGAAAAGCAAATTATAATTCAGCAAACCAACAAAACCAAAAACTGACTCCTAGAAAAGATTAATAAAATTATTAAGCACACTGCAAGAAAATTAAAAATGACAAAAAAATTAATAAGCACACTGCAAAAAAAATTTAAAATGACAAAATATACAATGAAAAAGGGATTATGATTACAGATTCCACAGGAATTAGAAAGTTTTTTTAAAGATTATTAAAAACAACCTCTAACAACCAACTTTGTCAATTTAAATAAAATCATGGAATTCCTTGAAAACAAATTCATTAAAACAGACACAGTAGTGGAAATTCATAAGCTGCTTTTAAAATTTACATGGAAATGTAAAGAACGCAAGATATGATATTAAAAGTTATCAAGACTAAACATAAGGCTACAGCAGTTAAAACAATGTGGAAAAAGGGATAGATAAATATAAGTCAGTGGAAGAAAATAGAGTTCAGAAGCTAAAATACACATGTGTTATTATCTGACTTAATTTTGTAAAACAACATTAAGATATCATTGATATACAATAAACTGCATATGTACAATAACTGATAGCATTTTGCCAAGCTATCACCATTACCAAGATATTGAATATATCAATCTCCCACAAAAGTCTGAGACCTTCTTTAACACGTCTTCTCCTCTGCCTCTTTCCACCCACTTCTACTCATCTCCAGCAACCACTGATTTGCTTTTCTTTCACTGTAGATTGTTTTTCTATAACTTTGTATAAGTGGAATTATACAGCATATGCTCTGTATGTCTGGCTTCTTTCACTTAATGTACATATTTTGAGGTTCATCAATGTTGTAGCCTGTATTAACAGTCCATTCCTTTTTATTGCTTAATAGTACTTCATTATATGAATATACTACATTTGGTTTATTCAGTCATCTGCTGACAAACATTTGGGTTATACCTAATTTTTGGTTATTACAAATCAATTTGCAATGAACATTCATGTGTAAGCATTTCTATGGACATATGCTTTCATTTCTTTTGGCTAACTATCTAGAAGTGGAATGACTATGTTTAACTTTTCACCAAACTGACAAACTATTTTTCAAACTAGTTTTACAACTTTATATTCCATCTAGCAGTGTTTGAGAGTTTCAGTTCTTCCATATCCTTAGCCATACATGATATTATCAGTCTTTTTAACTTTAATCATTTTAATAGTTATGTGGGGCTGGGGATGTGGCTCAAGCAGTAGCGTGCTCACCTGGCATGCGCGGAGCGCTGGGTTTGATCCTCAGCACCACATAAAAATAAAATAAAGATGTTGTATCCACTGAAAACTAAAAAATTAATATTAAAAAATTCTCTCTCTCTCTTTAAAAAAATAGTTATGTGATAATCTCATTGTGATTTAATATGCATAGTTCTAAAGAGTAATGATACTGGACATCATTTCCATATGCTTATTTATTATTCTTTTTCTTCACTGGCATAAAGTCTGTTCAAATATTCTCTCAATCTATTAACTAGGTTGCCTGCTTTCTTCTTTTTGAGTCTTGAGTCTTGAGTCTTTGAAAATCTGGATAAAACCTCTTTATCAGAAACATGATTTACAAATTATTTATTCCAGGTCTATGGTTTGTTTATTCATTCCCTTAATAGTATCTTCAAAGAAAAGATTTTTAATTTCCATTGACCAAATACTAGAAAAGCTACTTACTTCTCAGAGCCTCCACATTTTCACTTTTCTTTCTGTATGTCTTCTGAATACCACTTATTCTGAAAAACATATTTTATATTAAAAATATTTAAAAATTTATAAGTATCTGTGTTTACATATATAATATTCCTATCAATGCTGTCTTATTTTAAAATGTACTTTATGAAATGTGAATTAGGCTGGACACAGTGATGCATGTCTATAATTCCAATGAATTGGGAGGCTGAGGCAGGAGGATTAGAAGTTGGAGGTCAGCATCAGCAACTTAGTGACACCCAGTCTAAAAATAAAAAGATAAATAAACAAAAGTGCTGGGGATGTGGCTCAGTAGTTAGGGATCCCAGGTACCAAAAAGAAAAGAAAATTAAACTGGATATATATCTCTAGCAATACAATGTATTTAGATATCTCCATATTTAGATAATAATTATTYAAATTTTGCAATACTTTTTGGCCTGCAGGAATACTTTATGTTCATGTATCCAGAAGAAGAATTGGCATTTTTGTGCCAAAATTTGAAAAGGAAATACAAAGGCAGTCATATTTAGTAGGAATAAGAGTAACATACCTTTCTACTAAAACAATGAGCCAAAAAAAGCTGGCAACTATAAAATTATTTTAAAGAAGCTACAAAAGTACAGCACTTGTCTCTATTTTTAAAAATTATTAAGTTTTCATGCTAAGTCAACATCTAAAATTAAGTGGAACATCTGATTCAAACAATTTATGCATTGCTTTTCACCTCTGGTTAAATATGTGTCACTTTAATTAAGTAGGATAAACCAGATGCCATTTCATGCAAGCACTCGTACCAAACTGTCTATAAATGTGATTGTCTTACTCCATTCAAAACATTCATACATAATTGTTTCAAGAATTAATGTTTTTTAAATATTTTTTAGTTGTCAATGGATCTTTATTTTATTTATTGATATGTGGCGCTGAGAATCGAACCCAATGCCTCACACATGCTGGGCAAATGCTCTAGCATTGAGCCACAACCCCAGCCCCTCTGGTGAAGGCGATCCCCCACTCACTGTCTTGACAGGGTCACAGTGAGAAAAAGTGTTGGCAAAGCCGCTCTCCCACTGTCTTGACAGGGTCACAGTGAGGATGAATACTGGCAAAGCCACGCTGGTTGGTGGGTAACCGAAACCATGAGACCCTTTTTTATGTAATTGGGACTTTGCATTTTCATGCTTATGTTTCTCACAGGAGGCATGAGTATGTTAAATGCCAAACAAATTAAATTTCAGATGGCTAGAACAGAACAGGTAGTTCATGCCTTGGAAGCTGTTCTGCTACCCACCCCTCAGCATATCAAGGACAAAATAAAAGGCTATTCTTCTATCTTAGTACATTGTGGACAAACCTAATAACAGACAACAATCATTCTCTGAAAAACAAACTATGAGAACTAGTGCACCTTGACTGAGAAACAAACTCTTTGAGAACTAGTGTACCTTGACTGAGAAACAAAAGAAACTCTCTGAGAAAGCAGCTCAACCAGTTTTATGAGAATAAATTTAGGAATTAATTAAAATAGCTTTATAAGACACAGTTTTAGAATAATGTTAAAAATATTATTTTATTTAGATTCTTAAGTTTAGAAATTATTAAGTCTTTAGTTATATAGGTTTCTGATATGCTTTAAGGATGATTCATAAACTTTAGGACATTTTAAATATAAGATTTAAAGGGACTTTTTTAGATGGGAATTTTAGATTAAAAATAAAGTGCAGGTGTACTTTAGGTTAATGATTAATTAAGAAACTTAGAGTCTGGTTACGTAGTTTGGCATTAGTTAATAAGGAAATAACATATCTTGGGAAAAATAGTAAATCTTGGGAAAATCTGAAGGATGTAAATTGGTGACATGTTTTATTGATGATTCTGTACTTTGATGATTGTATGGCTGGGGGTCATATCCTGGAAGAATGTAGATCGGTGTGCTCTCAATCATGGTTAAGGAAATGTCATGTCTTGGCAAAGTTTTAAGTTATATAATCAATGACRTATTGTGAATCTATAATGATGAGAAAAATTGTAATAAAAGGGGACCCAGAGAAAGCAGCTTTAGCTCTCTCTCTGAAGATTGCTCAAAGGGAACGACTCCTGTCTCATCATTTCGCCGACACCACTCCTCCTTTGGGACTCCCTGGACCCCGCCGGGGCTGGCCCCCGGCACCCCTCAAGAATTAATGTTTTTAAAATCAGTTTAAATTTCACCTTTGAGAAGGCTGACCACTGACCCACCATCTTAAGTATTTTAACACTGTTTTTATACATGTTTCTTAAAATTAAAGAAGTATATTTTACTTCATTTTTTTTCAATTTGAACTTGTTTTCTTTCTCCTTATTTAAAAAAAAATTAAATTTGACCGACATGACAAGTCCAATAATGAATTTCTTTGGTTATTAAATAAAAATAATATCCTATCTTTGATCATGTCATAGAAAACTGAAGGTCTATGAAATAGGTAACAATTTAATGTTACATTAGACAATGTAACATAAATCAAATTATAGAATTTCTACTGTTTTAGAGTACATAATGGGAAAAGTTTTTAAACACTGAGTTTTATTGCTTTTAAAACTTTCCAATAACAGGGTGCTATAGTAAACACCAATAATCTCAGCAGCTAAGGAAGCTGAGGTAAGAAGATCATAAGTTCAAAGCCAACCTCAGCAACTTAGTGAGGCCCTAAGCAACTCAGCAAGACCCTGACTCTAAATAAAATATTAAAAATGGCTGGGGATGTGGCTCAGTGGTTAAGCATCCCTGGGTTCAATCCCTGGTAACATAAACCTTTCCACTGAAATATAAAAATCCAAATCTAGCAATAACTTCATTCTACATGGCTATAAAGCAAATAAAAACTAAAAAGAAAAGCAGCTCTTATTAACACTATGCTTTAAAATCATGAAATGTCTACCAAATCCAAGATACCACATATAAAAACATATTTAGGATTTCAGTCTGGCAGCTTCCATCGGCAATTTACACCTAAACTGCCAAAGAGTGAATCATACCTTATGGCTTCTTTGCCTATAAATTCTGAAGAAACAGACTCAACAATTTCACCAAAACTAATATTCCCATTAACGTTGCCCTCTGACAACTCCTTATAATTTCTTTTGCTCTTTGACCAATATGATGGTTTTAGAAAATACAAAGATGATCTCCGTAAGCCAAATTCCCCTGAAAAACAAAAATTTTTWAAAAATTATGTTATTTCTGAAAAGATTTCAAAATTATAAAAACAGGAAATGAATTATTAATTCATCTAATTTTAATTTTAAAAGCCACAGGGGGCTAGCAGTCACCATATAAGACTGGTTGACCCTCTGTCAGCAAAAAAGGAAAAAAAAAACCCACTAAATATCTTGAAAGTAAAATCCAATAATAAACTCATACCTGGAATGACTTGATCAAGATACACAGCCAGAAGGACATAGAATGTACTATTAAGTGCTAGCATGATAAGAGTAATAATTAGAGGATATGGGCCTTCAGTCAAATTAGAAAATAAAGCACCTTCATGAAAATCTTCTAAATGCATGACCTAAAAACAGAAATACCAACTTTATTATTAAAACATGATAAAAACAAGTAAAAGCTAACACTACTCAGCACCACTCATTATATCCAAAGTAACAATAACCAAACTCGGCCTTTTTACAGACTAAATTAGTAATAAGAATTTATAAGGAAAATGAGATTTCACCAAAATATAAATTCAACACAACAATGCTATCAATTATGTTTTAAATGCTGTGCTTTGTAAACTTGGATCTATCAGCTCCTGAGACAACAAATTCTCAAGTAATCACTACCAAAGGAAAGAAAAGTGAAGGGTGATGTAACCAGGGCAAACAAAAGAGTTATTTCCCCCAAAAGTCAAATAAATTAAGCATCAGAARATAAAATTAAGGAATCTAATACTGAAAAGATAAAAGGTATTTTGATTAACCAATACAATTATTAAAGTATTCTAGCAGATATATGAGACAGAGGAGAAAGAGAAATGCAATGGAGGATGAGGTCGCATTTATGCAGGGGCGCTGCCACCCACAACTAAAACATAAATCTACAATTCCACCTTCCTAAGAAAGGGGGAACTCAGTTCAGTGGACTTTCAAAATGTGTAACAATAGCTCTCTTCTTAGTCTCACAAACCTGAACTTTCTATCCCAAGACGAGTAATACATTATATTAAAAAATTATATATTTTTGTACAATAACCAAATTTATCTTCTATTATATAAAGCCATTTCTTTTAGACTTTTTTCACTTAGAATCTGACTACACCTATAAGGATAAATAATAATCAAATTTATAAATTAGGTATTATTTAAATGAATGACAATTACATGAAGCCTAGGCCAATAAAATCAATTAGGCCTTTTTATTTCACTACTACATTCATGTCAAATTTGTTCTGCTTAATGCACAATTTTCTGCTAAGCATTCTACCATTTATATATAGTAGCAATAGAGCAATCTAAATTACTTGGAACTTAAACCAATGAATTCTGAGTAATTATACTGAAATAGATTCTTGGAATGTAAACAAAGCAAAAAGCAAAGAACTTACAGAACATTTAATTGAAAACTTAAAACTGAAGAAAATATACATAAAACTAGATATAAAATGTACTCAAGTATTCAAATATTATTTCTCATGTTGAAATTTTAAAGTAATTTTATTTTGCAAATCAAATGTAATGTTCATAGTAGTATAAAACATTGGTTGGAACTGGAGAGAAAAGAAGGTATTTGTGAATGCAAGATTATTACCTACCTGTGCAATACCAATCAAAAAAGTACACTGACAGAAAGGACTTAAAAGCCACACTAATGATTTTGGAAAACTTTCCATGAGGACTATCAAAAGGCCAATAAATCCGAAAGCCACAGTGACAAAAAATTCAACTATTCCCACATGTTTTGATTTTTTAAAAAGGGGTGTCAGCATCAAAGCAAAAAATATCTATAAAATATAAATATTAAGGTTAGTTAATGCAAACTGTTCATATACACTGATATGAAAACAAAATTAAATTTGCTTATGAAAGGAGCATTCACACTATCATTGGAAAATATGATTCTAATTTATTAAAGCTATGATATTTAATTTTCATACAGTGACACATATTTTAAATTTTTAACTTGACAAATATTAAAGACTGTATATTATCTGTATTATAGGCAAATGTGAACATATCTACACTATAGAAATCAAAGAAACATGTAAAATATGTAAACAATAAATCAACAAGCTCCTAAATATAAGACCCATTTTTTAAACAATGTGTCGATATAAAACTAGAGACATACTTATGAAAGTACAGGAGAATTTGTAACCTGTCATTTTAAAAAGTAGAGGTGATAGTCAAAATACTTAACAACTGGTACAGATCAGTTTATAACCTGATCAAAGTAGAAGCTGGAACCACTTAAAACAAAAGCTTGTCATTATACCCAGCATTCACCCTATATACCAAATGAATATCAATACTGCTAAMGAGCTATATTTATAAAAACATCTTTTTTTGTTTTCTTCTATTGGTACTAGAGATGAATCCAAAGAGACTCTACAACTATGCTATATCCTCAACTGTTTTTCTTTTTTAATTTGAGACAGAGACTAAGTTGCAGAGGCTGGCCTCAAATTTAACAATCCTCCTGCCTCACCCTCCCGAGTCACTGGGATTACAGGTGTGTACTACCACACCTAACTACAAAAACATCCTTGAATAATCACAGCACAAACTACCTTGAAACACAGTTTCATGAAGACAAAGGAATAAAAAGTACAGTACTGGACAATCTTGATCACACATGGTTATATAAAGATTAGAACAGATAAAATCAGAGGAACTATAWGTGAACTGTAACATATAAAAACAAGTTAAATTTAAACCTGAGACAATTCTGTATCTTTCCTAAAAACATGGAAGTACAATAATGCTACATAATTTATTATTAAGTAATTTATCAGTAACTTAGTGATAACATATGTTGCTATGAGAAATTGACTATAAGTTAACCAAAGAAAAGCCTTTACTATATTACCAAACATTTTGAACAGTTATTTTCATTTGAAGTTAAAACACTTACAGATGATAATCCATACAGGAAAAAAAGGAGAAATATCACAATGCTGCTACTTTGAGGGAATAATGAAGAGGCTGTTGCAATGACCGCCATGAGAAGAGACATAAGAAAAATCAAACTCATATACAGAAGAACCCAGGAAAGCCTAAAATGAGAATACAAATACATTTATAGCAAATGCAGAGGCTTTAATGCTTAAAACAATCATCTGAAACAAAACTTCACATTTAGCCATTTTATTCTTAAGTCAATTTATTTCCATGTATGTTCATATACTGAAAATTAAAATTCATAACTAARAATACTGTATTAGTTAAATTAGATGTAAAAAATGTACTCTAATATAGAGGTAAAATGCTGAGTATCATTTACAAAACCTAAAAGCTTTGAAAATTAATAGCAATTCACATTTAAATCTAATACTCTCAAAAGTTCAATAGGGCACATTGTCTGATTTTCTTAAGTTTACTAAGTCTATATAATGATTATCTTTATGGAATGTGCTATAATTAAACCTCCAGTGGATTTTGTTACTGTAAATAATAAAAGTTCCTTACCAATCAATGATGTAATTATTATACTTATAAAATGTATGATCAACAAGAACAACCCAGTCACAATTTTTACTCAAGATTTCTCTTTAAATCAGAGCTCATTTTATCTTTATTTTTCCCAGTTAGCAGATTATGATTTAACAGAGGATATAAAAATCATTGAATTATGGTTAAAAGACAGTTAAATTAATAAAACTGGATCCATTGTTTCAGAGGCAAAACTGAGGTACTTGAGACTGATTTGCCTGAATTCATCCAACTGTTTCCCACAAAATACTTTAATAACCCAACACATCTTAAAAATTAATTGTTTCTAAAGTAACAAGATAGCAAAGAAAATGTTATACACAATAATTCCATTATATAAAGTGTTATAATTATTTCTTAGATTAGGCCTCGTGGAATAAAATTTTGTAAAATAGATGATAGCAACTTACACAGTATTAACTTTCCCCCTAAATGAGCTTAAAACAAATTTTATTACATAAGTGGGAAGAGTAAGGAAAACACACCTAGATATATTTATAAATATGCATGTGTCTATAAAACTACCATTACATAAAAATGCTGATAAATTAAAGTACATTTGTATAAACTTCTTTTTCATTTGTTTCTTTATAAATTATATGTATATTGCCCATCTTAATTCACTCAAATAACTAAAATTTTCCCAGGGGAATTAAAGTCCATCTATTACATATGAATCCTTTAATCATTTAAATTTTAAATCATTTAAACATGTAAATCTTATGATACTAAGGGAGGCCCATGACAGGCAATTAATTTCTAACTTTCCAAGATCACATATCTTCTGTGCAATGAAATACAGAGTGAAAAACATGGAACATGCCTCATGAACTAAAACAAAATGTAAAATAAAATTTAAATGTGTTGTCAACATAAGGTTTCCACAATTCCTCTTCCCCTATGTGAAAATAAACAAATTAGTTGCTGAAGTTTATTGACTATTCTGAAATTCTAAGACAAATGCAATCATTTTAAGAAAACAGGATCAGTATCTCATCAAGTTGGGTAAATAAAATAATTCTGAAGATCTGTATAATACTTAATACAACTGTTAAGTATACTAAATAATAAACTTTTAATAACATACCAAAAGGCAGTGTCATGAAGTCCCATTATCTTTAAAAATTCCTTTAACTTTTTTTCTTTTTCGGCTACAATATGAATTGCCAAAAAGTATCCAAAAGGTGAAAATGCTATAACTAGATATATTAAAATTATGCCTCGAGAAAAGGTAACTATTTCTACAATAGCAGTTTCTCCCATGATTACAGCTTTAGTTGACTCCAGCTCCTTCCAAAGAGAAACATTGGTCTTCAACTACAATTAGAAAATGTAAATGCATTAATTTAGTTCTGACAGTTGTTTATAATAAAATGTAACAACTGTAAGTCCAAATTCAGTCAATAACCTCATAAAAATAAAATCCTCAAAAAGCTATACAGACTTGAAATAAAACAACTGACCACAATATCAAGATACAAAGTAGAATACTACTTTCAATTCATTCTGGAAGTATATGATAAATTTTAAAGTTTGAAATTGGTACATTTTAATTAAGTAATTTGTCAAAKAAAATAAAATTATGCAATTATTATCTTAAGCAATCATATGCATCTTAACAAAAATATACAACTTCAAAACTGAGGATCTTGAGAAAAAGTATTAGTACCATCACTCTTCATACTAATGTTTAAAAGCGTTCTTTTTCACAGAATGCCTTTCCATTGCTTTAAACTATATGTATGAAGTACATATGGATGGGATATAAAAACTACTTATGACACATGATACTTCTAACACTTAAGCAAATGCTACACTGAGATTTGTCCTGCCAATTCATCTCAGGTGGTCTAGGTTGTAGATGGCTAAAGTCTTTGGCCAGGACACAAGTAAGTGGTACAACACCATTAATGTGAAATACCCCATAGTTCACTACCTTTACTGTAAACATCTATATTGAATTGGTATAATATTCCCTAATGCATTTATACCATGTTACAAGAGTTTATAAAGCAATTTTACATACATCATCTCATTTGGTTCTTATAACCCAGTCAAGTATTGTGTTAACATTTTACTACACAGCAGTCTAACAACAGAATTACTGTGTAACTCTTGATTCCAATTCTATCACTATTCATGCATACTCTTAACAGACACTGTAGTAAAGATTGCTGACACGCATTTTTGAAGTCATAATACTTTATAGTATAGATTTCAACTAGAAAAAGCAAATAGAAAAACAAAACAGACCCATAATGAATATAGAGGAAAGAGATATGATTAATTCTAACAATGAATTATGTTGGGCTTGTTTTAACTGCTAGGCATTGAACTTAGGGCTTTAGACAGGCTAGGCAAATACTCAACCACTGAGTTACATTCCCAGCCCTAACAATTCGATTTCTAACTAAAAGAATTGCAACATACTGCTATCTAACACAGACACAAAATTTAAAGATTTTTTTAAAAATAAATTTCATGTCTAGTTCTTCTGCTAAAATGTAAAATGCTAAATCAGGTCCAAGCCTGTCTTTAGAATAATTCAAACATTTATACACAATCCTAGCAGCAGCAAAATATAGTATTAATGCTCATATTTAGGAGTCAAAAAGCCATAGCTTGGCCCCATGCAGTGGCACATGCCTACAATCTCAGCTACTTGGGAGACTAAGGTAAAAGGATTGCATATTCAAAATCAGTTTCATCAACTTAGGCCCTTAGCAACTTAGGAAGACCCTGTCACAAAATAAAAAATAAAATACAAAGGTCTAGGGAATGCAACTCAGTGGTCAAGTGTTCCTGGGATCAATACCTTTTACCAAAAATAATCCCATAATTTGAATTTCTATTTTGCTGCTGAGTTTTGACAAGTTACTTAATATCCMTATATTTCAGTTTCRCATTAAAATCAAGATAATAGCACCAATCTCACAGATTTGTTAAATGCTAAATGGGATAATATTAGAACATAATTCAAAAGTAGTGTTAAATATGACAAATGTTGTTAAATAAAAAATAAAATCTGCAATTATGACTAAAATAATAAAGATAGTCACTTTCTTTAAACTAAGTTATTTATATTCCAGCGAGAGTCTAAAAGCATTTCATAAATATTATCTATGGTTAATAATGATATAACATGAATATATAGTATGCTGAATCCTTTGTTTAAAAATATCATATTAAAGTAGCTTCAAAAAGTATTAAATCAGAAAATATAACTTCCACTATAYCTTTTTTCTTAAAGAAGTTATTTGCAAGTTATATATTATATATATTGGCAGCAATCTGACCAAATTCAATTGTAAAGATTTATGAAGGTATTAATAAAATATGATTTAGTTTTCTGCTATTATCATATTCACCTGTATAATAGCGGCATCTATGGATGCCTGTAAAACAGTGAACCCAGAGGACCAATACTGAGCAGCCTCACACGATTTTGAACAGCCAGCTATAAGGAGAAAAATATAAGACATAATATTGTGTTCAACATATGTAAGTGCTTTCTTCTAAAGGTGACATATGGAGAGTTAACAAAGAAACATAATCAATCTCTACAGAACTAAAAACAATATGCTACTACTGCCCTTCAAAAGCAAATAATCTAGGACTGTTTATTTGAAATGTGGAAATAAAACAGTTACATGTGTTAGGATACTGAATGGTAAGTGAATAAAAATGTAAGGAGAGACATTAAATGTAAACATAAAAAAAGTAAATATAGTTAAAGTAGGTCAACTTTTTTATTTTAAGATAGTCATTCATAATGACTTTGTTTCAGCACACCTCCAGATACACAGTGAAGTCCAGATTCAGACAACAGAAACAAGAATTTTCTATAAAATCACAAATTCAGTACTTAGCACAGTGACTTTATTAATGGGAAATCTTAAGGATTTGTACCATAACATGAGTAAAAACAATGACATAGGGAAACAAATACAGATTTACAAAGTCTTATAAGATATAATTTTGTTTTATACTATAATTGATAAATGTATATATATACACACATATATATGTGTGTACACACACACACACACACACACACACACTTTATGCTACACTTGAGTGTTCCTATATGAACAAATAAGCACAGCTGAAAATACCAATGTTGGAGCCCATCAAATTGTGCATATATATACTGCAAGCAGCAAGGCCATACATTTCTTGTATTTCAATGATTATTTAGGGCTATTTACCTCTTGAATCCATATAAATAGAAGATACTGGAATCACATCAGGAAAAAAGCGAAGTTCRTAGGACATGAAGTCTTTGAAAACCACACCTACAAAGTTGCTGGGCTTAGAAAGACTGGATGCTAGCATTTCTTTTTCGTTTGCATATTCTTCTGTAATTATGACTACAAATATTAACAATACAGTTAATTCATGAATTAAAATGGTTTACTATGTATATCAATTTTATAATTATATTTGATGAATGGAATATTTTAAGCACATTTGTTTTATTTTCTAACCTCTTAGAAAATGAAGATAATACTAATAATATCAAAGAGTAAAAGAATAATTGAATTTTATTGGCATTAAGTTGTCCTATTATTACATAAACTATCAGTATACTGTGTAAGTTATAAGTACAATAAAGCATAGTAAAAAACAATATGTACAAAATTTTATCAAGAGATTATTTCTCTAGGAATTGTACTAAACTGTAATACTGAAGAGTTTTGTTGTCATTTCCACTTTTTAAAGTCCACTGACCAGGAGGAGACTTACTCAGATTTTGAAATTTAAAACTTCCAAAAGCAGTAAAATTGTAAAAATGCAGGTCATTTATCTACCTGAAAGTAAAACCAACACATAATTCCTTGATAAATGAAAGKATATTTTTAATTTAAATAATTCTTCTCATGAAGACAGTCCTCTAATCCTTCTCAGAAGTTASGTATGTATTTTAGTAACTATGATACAACTGTTCTTTGAATAAAAATTGCCACTTAAACCCAATATTTCTTATTCCTTTCTTAGAAGAAATAAATTTTAAATATCTTCTTGCAGTTTTGTTTACAAGTGACTTCAATTCAGAAGCTCCAAAATATGTAGTAAAATGGAAAGAACACAGAATCAGTACATAAATTCATCATTCATTAGCTGTGTGAACACATGAAAGTGTTTAAATAACTCTCCAAACTTTACTGTTCTCATCCACCACACCCAGTTAATCACACAGGGTTGCTGTGAAGACCAAGTGAAGTAACAAACATGAAGGTGCTGTGTAAATTATTAAGTATTACTTAAATGTTAATTAACATGATTTTCTAGACTTGTAAACTAGATATGAAACTCCAGAATTGACTTGAATAAAGAGGAAGTTAGTTCAACATCCTATGAGTTGTGTTACCACATATGTGTATATAACTCATTTTCAGATAGTTCTATTGTTAAAAGATAGAACTTTAAAAGTATGTGTGTGTGTGCGTGTGTGTGTATATATACATATATTTGTGAATAATGGTATCCCAGTGAATACATAATATACCAACAAGATATGTTTGATAAAAATATTCAATAGCAATAATCTGCAAAAAATGGAGTTATTTAGCTCCTTACTAACTCATGTCATCTACTCAGTGACATACTCAATATGTGATAATATATACTAGAAGTTGATTACAACTATCTTATATGAAACTAAAAAAATGCTAGACTGTTATTTTCTATAGTTCAGCATTTAATTGTTTAATCATTACAGTGTAAAATATTTAGTATAAACATTTCCCTCACCTTCTCCAGTTCTTGCTCTAGGTTCCCTCAAAGCTACTTAAAAACTCACTAGAACCTAGCACAGTGGCCCATGCCTTTAATCACAATGACTTAGGAACCTGAGGCAAGAGGATCTCATGTTTAGAATCCAGCCTCAGCAACTTRGCAATGCCCTAAGCAATTTAGTGAGACTCTGTCTCAAAATAAAAAATAAAAAGGGTGGGGATATGACTTGGTGTTAAGTGCCCCAGGTTTCAATCCCAGAAAAAAAAACACCCCCAAACAAAACAACAAAAAACTCACTACAATGTCATTGCTTACACTATTTCCTAGTCCACTTCTTTGTGAGATATAAAACAGATCTAAGTACTTAGCCACAGTCATAGTTTTCAAAATGAAGTGCTTATTCAGTTTATACTATATACCTCCATAAACAGGCATGGCAATCTGAAAATATTGCTGCTTTATGCATTTCTAGCTTCTCAATTATGAGTCAGAATCAAAGTAAAATATTACTTCTAATCTTTTTTGTTATACAAATATTCTTAAATTATTTTACAAATGTCTAAGAATTCAACTTAAAATATGAAAATACATAAAATACATATTAACAATAATGTTTCACAAGAAACATAAGGCAGTAGAATTATTTTTGTAACAATATACTTGTTGGGAGAATACATCTCTAAGAGTTTAAAAAATGCTAGTAAAGCAAGCCAATAAATATTGAATCCACTTTATGTCATAGAATACATATATAAGATCACAATACCATCAGGAAGGTGGTCAGTAGACACTCTCTGCATGATGTTGCTTGTAATATTAGTCACTGGAGTATATCCAAGAATTAGATTAGAAAGGATAGATTTATCCATAGGATTAAGTTCTATATCAGGCACTTCTTCATATTTCTTATTTGGATGCATCATGCTTATTAATATTAACCAAAATAAAAAAAATAATGGAAAAAGTATTTCCTATAATAAAAGAAACAAAGCATTATAAAATATAACACTGGCAGCAAAAAACTTCAAGATTTGTATGCACATAATATAAACAAGAAAAAACATGAAGAATTTGGTAATCCCTTCTTCTGTACAAAAAGTAAAAGCAGTTCTACACCAAAAGAATTACTGTATTGAGCATCTCAACAAATCCAGTAGACATAGTAGGTGATTTTTCTTTTACATTCAGTTTTGCTGAAACGTTTTAAAATTCAAGTCACATAATAAATTAAAGTGATATAAATGCAATATTTAACTATCTTAGGTCACTGATATAAAATATAATAAATTATTTACTCATAATTTTAAGTACTTACCAAATATCCCTATAAGAATCACCACAAAAATGTCTTTGATTCTGAATTATAAATCATACTTTAATAAAGCCTAAATTTATACTACTAAAATTATACTCAAATTTTATGGTCAGMTTTAACAGGCATGAACTATTATTTCACCTTTCTGTTTAATTGTTCTTCTAGTTTCAGAAGAAGACATTTCCACCCTTTCAAATTATTACTAAATGGTTAGCTAGAGTTCTTTCTTTCTTTTAGCAAAAGTAATGCATGCTGCAGTACAAAGCTGTGACATAATTTTAGTATTTTAGGGCAATTCAATCTAGAGTGTATAAAATGGAAGGGTGTGGAGAATAATGTTGTGGAATAATGTTCTGCAAAGTTATCTGTGAAAAAGTAGGTTGTGAATGTTGAGAAATGCACTTAAGTTCAAAATTAAGAACTGATGTTAGAAATTAAATTTAATAATAATGTTTCATATTTAGGAGCACTAGGTAATTCAGTTTTTCTTTTATGGCTTTTACTTTGCAAGCAAATGCAGACAGCAAAAAGAAATTATAATAAAAATGTATCCAGCAAAATTATCTCTTAAAAATGGCAAATATCAAAACAAAATAAACTACAACAAGGCATAAGAAAGAGTATTTTAACTTACCTGAACACTACTTTTTTTAGTCCTGCATTTAATTAGATAATTCTTCAATAGAAGTGTTCTGGTCTGTCTCCAAACTCCCACCTCCCTAATTGCAGTGGCCATGTTTTCTGGTCAAGCCTATTAACAGAGAAAACAAATAAGCAAGCAAATCTTGGAACCACACAGTAAAGCATAAGTCTTTTTTTATTTTTATTTATTTATTTTTATATTGCTGGGGATTGAACCCAGGGCCTTGTGCATGTAAGGCAAGCACTCTACCAACTGAGCTGTATCCTCAGCACACAAGTCATTTTTAATGGCAAAAACAGGTGATTTCAGTCCCAAGTAAAATGAAGTTAAGCATATTTTAAGCTGTCCCTCCCACCTGGAAAGAATACATGAAGCAGCAATTTGAAGATGGTCAAAAGTAAACAGTAAGTATCACCGGGAATGACCAGAAATTGAAATACCACCAAACAAACCAGCAGGGAGCTTACCACTTTTTCTCCTTGTAATCCTCCAAAATGAACACTGAAGTGAGCACCATGCCACAGAGCAAGTTCCAGAAGGAGAAATGGGAAAATTTAGTCTTAATGATAAAAGAAAAAGCAGAAATACCAAGGTTTTTTTTGTTCTTTTCTGCSTTTGCCTATGTCCCAATCCCAAGTAATACCATGGTAGCAGTGCCAGAATGCACTAATGAAAGCTAATGAGCCAAAACCCTGAGGCAGTGGAACCTTCATCTCCATGTGCAGCTATGGCTCCTAGAGAGCTGGGGCAATTCCCATTCTTTTCTTCTCTACCTTTTGTCACTAAGCCCTGGATGTAGTAATTATAGTTGCAGAAGTGTATGGCACAATGAGACTTTCTGTGTGGAAAATGCAAAGAGAAGCTATGGGAAAAACAGTAGCAGAGAGGTCAAATAAAAGAAAAGCTGAAGAAAGCACCCAAAAAAGTTGTTTTTTACCTCCTACATTAACTCCCAAGCTGGGCATACATGGTTCTCATCCTATGTGCGTTAACAAAGACTAGAGGAACTGAACTGACAAAGACCAGTCACTGGGAGGCACACACAGGACAGATCCAAACCACACTGCAAACRTTTTATAAACTAAACTGAAATAACCATCACAGTTCAAAGACTATGAGTGGAGACTTACTACCTGATCCTAACTGGGTTGACAGCTACTAAAATAAAATATCAACATTCCCCACAGTGAGATGGTCAAGCATCTCCACCCCTTGGGAGATGAAGGAAAAAAAAAGGGGGACTCCTTAAAATTAAGGAAATCAAATCTCTCAGGGCCAACCTAGTCTCAGTCTTACAGGGTTAACAGAAAACTAGGAATTAAAAATGTAAGCCATCTTCAAGGCCATTGAATTAAAATAAAACCGGGAGTCTGGGGTTGGGAAGTCAGGAGGTCAGCTCAGTCTTCTGAGACTATGTGGTCAGCAGAAATACCAAGAAGCCAGAGCTGACAAGGTCACTAAAATCAAAAGCACTGGGACAAGACAATGGGTCTGTCTGCCCTGTTCTGAAAATAATATTAGGGACTTTCCCAGGTGCACCTCCAGGTGGTAAGGGGCAAATGCAAGCATAAAATAAAGTAACCCCAGTTACTTTTGCTTTATTAGCATAGTAAAAAGTACACCCCAGACTGGGGTTGTGGCTCAGTGGTAAGCACTTACTTAGTGCATGTGAGGCACCTGGGTTCAATTCTCAGCATCACATAAATAAACAAACAAACAAAAAAATCACACCCAAGGTAGAGACTTAAGATGGTAGATATGTGTCACATGAGGAAGCATGATGAAGAAGACCACAAGTGCAATCACCTCTATATGTGATGACACAGAGACCAGGACCCTGTCTACTACATAGATGCCATAAAAGCTGTATTCATTTGTCCACTAAATTAGCCTGGGATTTATCCCGTGTCATCTCCTTTGTGCTGAGCATAAGAATAGAATCTCAAAAGAAGAAATACAAATAGCCAAAAAATACATGAAAAAATGTTCAACATCTCTAGCAATCAGGGAGATGCAAATCAAATCTACACTGAGATTTCATCTTACCATAGAATGGTAATCATCAAGAATAAAAATAATGGTAATTACAGGTGAAAATGTGGGTAAAAGGGTCATATATTGTTGGTTGGACTAAAAATTGGTACAATCACTTTGGAAAGCAGTATAAAGATTCCTCAAAAGGCTAGAAATAGAACTACCATATGACCCAGCTAGCCCACTCCTTGGTATTTATCCTAAAGAACTAAAATCAGCATACCAACCAGCAGTACAATCCACAAAAGCCAAGTTATGGAACCAGCCTAGGTAACTGTCATTAGACAAATGGATAAAGAAATTATCTCACACACACACACACACACACACACACACACACACACACATATATACACACACAGTGAATTATACTCAGTCATAAAGAAGAATGAAATTGTCATTTTCTTATAAACAGATGGAACTGAAGAAAGCCAGGATCAAAAAGTCAAGGGTCAAAGTTTTCTCTCATATATGAAAGTTAGGAAAAAGAGGGGGAGACCCAAAACTAGAAGGGAGGTCAAGATGTAGAAAGATAGGAAGGGAGGAAAAGGGGAAGAAATGGGGAATCATGTTGACCAAATTATATTATATAAATGTATCACAATGTATGGGAATTTTATATATAACTAAAATGCACCAATTTAAAAAATGAATAAACAGACAACCAATAGAGCAAAGGAAACGGACCAGGGGAAAGGAGAAGAGGAGGCAATGAGGACGTACAAGACTGAAATAGAGCACAGTATAAATTCAGATTGAACCCCACTTTTATGTATAATTCACTAATAAAACTATAATACACTAATAAAAACAGAAAAAAAATGAATAAAGAGCCTTGCTCCTGTCCCAGTGCGCCTTTTTCTGATTTTTCTGATGGACAACATAAGAACACACCCTGCCAACTGCAACAGGATTAAACAAAGCCCACAGTTCAAACAAATCAAAATTTCTTGGCAAATGATGTATGTATATAAGAACAACTATAAGAAAAATAACAGATGCCAATGTCAAAATGATGCAGATTTGGAAATTATCTAGTAAAAACTTTAGGTAACTAACAAGTGCTTTGGTAAGAAATGGTAAACACTCTTGAAAAAAATTGAATAGAAAATCTCAAGAAAGAAATGGAAGCAAACCAAAAGCAAAACCAAATGGAAATTTTAGAACAGAAAAACACAGTAAAAAATAAATAATACTCATGAAGTGGGTTCAAAAACAGAATGGAGGTTAAAAAAATTAGTGAACTTAAAAACTGATCAATAAAAAACTCCCACTTTGAAGTTGGATGCCATGACACACATCGAAGCTACCCAGGAGGGTGAGGAAGGACAAGCTGAAGGCCAGCCTGGGTAACCCTGTCTCAAAATAAAATTAAATTAAATAAAAAGAAGAGCTGGAGATATAGAGTGGTATACCACTTACCTAGCAAGCAAGTTCAATTCCCAGTTCCAGAGAGAGAGAAGGAAGGAAGGAAGGGTATAGGGAGACAGGAAAAGCAAAGGAGGGGAGGGGTCTGAGAGAAGGGAAGACCCAATCTGAACATCAAAGAGAAAATAAGATTTTTTTTAATATTTATTTTTTAGCTTTTAGGTGGACACAATATCTTTATTTTACATTTATGTGGTGATGAGGATCAAACCCAGTGCCTTGTGCATGCTAGACAAGCACTCTACCACTGAGCTACAACCCCAGCCCCAGAAAATAAGATTTTTAAAAAATTAACATAGTCCTTTGAATAAAGAACTACTAAATTTCATATAAGCATAGTTACAAGAGAAGAAAATGGTAATGCTAAAAACAGAAATAAAGAATTAATCTGAAAATGTCCCAAATTTGGCAAGAGATATCAAACTACAGGTTTCAAGGTGCTTGGTGAATCCCAAAAAGGTCAACTGAAGAAAATCCATGCATATACACATTACAATCAAACTGCTCAAAATTAAAGACAATGAAAATTCTTGAGAGCAGTCAGAGAATGATGTAGCCAACCTATAAGAGAATAATGATCTGAATGAGAGTAGATTTCCTATAAGAAATTACAGAAAACTGAAATACTCATATACTCATACAGCTTGGCAGTTCCTTGAAAAGTTGTATGAGCCTCAAGTTCAGTCCTAGGGATATATATTCCAAAGAACTCAAAATAGGAATTCAAAGGAGTATATGTTCACACATGTTCATARCAGCATCACACATAGTAGCAAAAAGGTAGAAATGGTCCAAATACCTATCAACAGATAAATGGATAAATTGTGACATGTAAGCTGGGCATGGTAGCACATGTATATAATCACAGTAGCTTGGGAGGCTGAGGCAGGAGAATGACAATTTGGAGGCTAACCTCAGCAACTTAGCAAGACCTTAAGCAACTTAGAGAGACCTACCTCAAAATGAAAAATAGAAAGGACTAGGGATGTGGTTCAGTGTTAGAGCCCCTGGGTTCAATACCCAGTACCAAAAATTAAAAATTTGTGACAAATATACATAATTAAATATTATTCAGTCACCAAGGAATGAAGTACTGATATATGCAATCATGTAGATGAACCTCCAAAATATTATGTTAAGTCAAAAGGTCAGACAAAAATATCAAATATTATACAATTTCCATTTATGTGAAATTTCTAGAATAGAAAAATCCATAGAATAGAAAAATCCATGGTGGTTGCCAGAAACTAGSGAAGAAGAGAATGGGAAAAAACTGCCTAATTGGTGAGGGGTTTTACTTTGGTGCGGTATAAATAAATTTCACCTCAAAAAATTATTTTTAAAAAACAAAACTTTAGGGGCTGGGGTTGTGGCTCAGCAGTAGAGAGCTCATCTAGTATGTGTAAGGCCCTGGGTTTSATCCTCAGCACCACATAAAAATATATAAAATAAAGGTATTGTGTCCAACTACAACTAAAAAATAAATATTTTTTTTWWAAAAACTTTATAATCTAAATCACTATCCTATCCAAAGTCCTATCCCTCTTCTAGTGTATGTTTACCCTGTCTGAAGGCCTTTGGAACTCTTTCTGCCCATGGAACTCTTTTGGAGATATCTCAATTCTTCAAAGTGGTTTCATCATAGGTTGACTCAAAAGAGAAGTGGCCAGAGTCTTAACTACAATCTCCATGGTCCCTATTCTAATTTGCCCACTCTAGTAACCCAGCATCTACATACCAAGAGGTGTTGAAAGGGCACCTTGGGGGAAATATAAAAAAGTCCTGTAAAACCTTCTTCCACAGCAATTAGTACTGCCTTGTTTTATATTAACCTACCTAATGGATGCCGATGATATGATTCCTCTCCAAAACAAGGACAATCTGTTCCAATCTTGTTAGCTGTCTCTACCTAGACAAAAAAGCAAGCAACTTTTTAGAGCGAGTTTTTCTTCTCTAAAAAAGTAAATATATGCAATTAAAGTTGGCTTATTTATATGCCCAGAAGACTAGAAAGATATTTTTACGTTAACAATGGAATTATAGAAAACTTTTGCTTTATTTATGCGTTTTTCTATTTTTTTCAATATGTACCTTGTAATAAAAATGTGATTAAGGAATTCAACATATTATAAAATACTAAATGAGGAAATTAAAAACAACAAAACAAAGGCAGTTAAGAGTGGACTGATAACCATCTCTAGGCCAAAAAAAAGAGAGAAAGAAAAGAAGGAAGAAAAACCACAAACATGATTTGCTACAATACAAACACAGAAACACTAACCAACRCAGCATGAACATTCTAGAGTTGAGTGCCAAAACATATTGATTTAGTAGATACTACTGAATTATTAATTCAAATTGAATGCTAAATGCTTAAATTTTCATGTTTAGGTAATAGATCCCTCATAGARTAGCTGATGGAGTCATAATATTTTTACTTCCTTGAGAACTGTTCTCTGACTTGAGGTTGAGTTGCCAATGGCCTTGTCTGAAGCTCATGAATCTGAAGTAGGTTCACAAGAGCCTTTTAAATCAGAACTAAATTTGACTCCCCACACACCGGACCCACTCACTACTACCTCCTCTACTTCTACCACTACTATTGATCTACAATGGTCAGAGTTTCCCCAGCAGTATGGAAAATAAAGAGAACACTGAGGTAAACATACATTGCATCATTAAAACTTTCTCCTGATGGGCAATACTATGCTCAAAACTTGATTTTTATTCCTTGAGATATATGAAATGTCCCATTTTCTCCCCAGTATATTTGCATTTTCACTAAACCTCTACAATCAAATTATACTTCTTGCAATCAAAAGCATTTTAACCAATATAAAAGGCACCAAAATCAATAAACGCAGAAACTAATGGTAATGTTTGAAGTGGTACAGTATAGAGGTTAAGAATGTGACTTCTGGCCAGGCCAAGTGGTGATTCAGGAGGCTAAGGCACGAAGATTGCAAATATGAGGCCAGCCTCAGCAATTTRGTGAGACCCTTTCTCAAAATGAGAAAATCTGAAAAATGGGCTGAGGGTGTAGCTGAGAGATAGAGCACCCTGGATTCCATTCCAGTACTGAAAAGAAAAAGAAAGAAAAGAGAGAGAGAGAGAGAGAGAGAGAGAGAGAGAGAGAGAAAAGAAAAAGAAAAAGAGAATAACTTCTAGAGCCAAAATGACTAAATATGAATCCTGCCTTTGCCACTTCTAGCTGTGAGACCCTGGACAAGTTATTTAACTTTTTTGTGCCTCAGTTTTGTCATCTGTAAAATAGAGTAATAACAATGCCCACTTCTCKGGGTTGTTAAAATGACTAAAAGAACTAACACATATAAAACCCAAAATGGTACCTGGAAGATGGCAAGTAATTATACATATTGATCACTACTATACCTAAAAACAGAATAACTAATATCTACAAAGGAATAATACAGAGTATCATATTCATGGAAAAAAAAAGAGCAATGCAATTAAGGAAAAATTAAAGAATGGAAAATGAAATAACAAAAGAAAGTTCAAAATACATAGTCTTGATTTTTAAAAATCTATAAAACAGTCCCATCATTAGTTCTGGTCCATTCAAAGCAATGTTTTTTTCTTAAAAATATTCCCTCTTAAAAAAAAATCAGTCACTTGTCTAATGTTACCATATCTCTGTAAAATATTTCTAGTTAATAAAACAAATCACAACACAGCACTGAGAAGGCACTAAAAATTTGTAGAATAAACAATCCCATTGTTACATAGCGGGTAAGATAGCCTTTAAATTTTAATTCATTTTTACATGTACAGACCCAATTTAAAAACTGTGAGGAATGAATTAGGATTACAACCTATAAAATAAAGAAACTGAGTCATCCTGATGTTCAGATTCATCCTGGTAAGAGATGTGGTCAATCACCTTCTTAGCATCCTTGATAGATTTTCAGAAAGTTTTATTCTATCTTTGCAGGATAGATAATATTTAGAAAAAAAAAAACTGAAGCAGAATTTCCAGGCAGAGAAAAAGCYGTGGAAAAGCTAGATTTCCCAAAGGGATTGACTTATGTAAAGAAGAGAGATACCTGCAATATGGCAGAGGCATAAGGCAAAATGAAATGGGGCAAATGGAAGTGGTATACGCCCTTGATGACACTGTGAAGACAGACACTGGAAATGGATTGTAATTGGGTATGCAAAATGAGACGCCCTTATTCTGTGCACCCACAGCCAGCACCCTCTATTTCCTTTGTTGCACTTTTACACTTAAGGGTAATTGTTTTAATTTCCTGGAAATCATATTTCACTCATCCATTCACAAGCCCAATCTTCAAACCGCCTAAACTTCTATTGGTTGCATCATTCCCAGATTATAACTTTGATTTCTACTACATTGAGAAAACAGAAGCAATCAAAAGAAATTTCCCAAATCTCTCACTACTCTTTCTATCCACTTAACCTACATCTGTGCCTGAAGGAATATTGTATATTTTAACAATGTGCCATCTCAGCCTAAATTGAAGACTGTTTTCATTAGAACTCTGAACCACAAAAGCTTAAATGCAATCTGGTATTAGCTACTTTTGAATTAAGATTTATTTATTGGAAGGAGAGGTTAAGAAGCTATCTGGCACATGACTTTGGAGAAATTCCTACCCAGTTGCATTACTGGCTTCTCAATTTATAAAATAAGCCCTTTAACTTAATAGGCCTGCTACATTACTGGCTTCTCAGTTTACAAAATAAGTCCTTGAACTTAACAGGAGATACATTATAAATGCTTTCTTCTCTAATGTTTGAAAATTTATGAAGGTAGTGTGAAAATAAAACGAAAACTAATTGTTGATAAAATTTATCGTGAATTTTATAAGTGTTCCTTGTTGAAGGAATTATCTTTCAATAGCATTCATATGACAAGTCATCTCATAACTTTTCTTATATATAATAAATTCCTAAAAGCTCGTGCTTAAAACTATTTTTAATCCAATTAACTCACCCACTCATAATGATTATGATTTAGTAGAATATTATGAAACTCTTATATAATCACTCTCTCAAACTCAAGGATGGAGATTATAAATTGCATTTATCTTGGTATTCTTGACACAAAGAATAGTACATGGAATATAAACGACACTCACAAGTTTGTAACTTATTAATTAATAAGTTTGGTCTTATCTTGAATGCAAAATTTCCCTGTATTAAACCCCCTTTGAAGTTTTACTCCTTCAACAGCACACGCACCTACACAGCAAACATTCAAGGATCAATGTCTCTTTAAGTCTGATTTTAACGCAAATACACCCAAAGTCCTAGCTGCACTAATAATGTTCTCTCCTATGGAATCTTCCCTAACAATATATAATATCGATCTCTGGACAGACATAAAATACAGTAAATAAAGCACCAGAATTAAGAGTCAGACATCCCTAAACTGATCGGAGCTGACTGAGGCTCTACCTTTTTTACTAGCTGGGAACTCCCAAGTCTGCAAATCGGGTCTATACACCTCCAACCTCACACAAGACCCAAGGAGGTGCACCTGAGCCTGGCTGGGAGCTGGCGTCCGACAAATACTCTTCTCCCCTTAGAAATTCCTCAACTACAAGTTCACGCAGATATGTTTGATTTTTGCAGACTGGTTTTTCAAAACGCGAGTTCAAGCCTCGAGCCCGGGGGGAGCCGTGCCCGCGCCGCCCAGCGTCTCGCCAGCCCGACGCCCGCAGCCCGCCCGGCTCAGCGGCCGCCGAGACGTGTCTGCGCCAGGCGCTGCTCTTCCTGTCTCGGGGGTCAGGGTGCCCACCTCACCCGACGCAGGAGAGAGAACTCAGCATTTTCTCACCCCAATTCCCTTCAACACACTTGACTCCCGCCCCCCGGGGAAAGCGAGTGCTGGCCATCCAGCTCCTGCGAGGGACACTGACTTCTACATTTTTCCTTCTCCCTAAAGACGGACCTGATGATGGAGATGGCCCACAWCCCGCCCACTGCGGCGTCGCGGTGATCCCGGGACCCGACCCGGTCCCCAGTGTCCCCGGGAGTGCCCGGGAGTCCACACGCCCCCATCCCGGGGGCTCCGCGGCACCCACTACGCAGGCAAGCAGCGCTCGCTCGGACGTGAGGGGGTCTGCGGCGTCCCTTCGCTCACCGCTCCTGCCCGCCCCGGGCCGCTGCACCCACTCCTCAGACCCCGAGTCCAGCCCTCACGCCACTGACCCTCCGCCTCCGCGCCCCCCGCTCCACCTCCGGCCTCTCTCACTGACAGGCCTACCGCGCCGGGGCCCGCGGCCCGCTCCTCACCTCAGGGCCGCAGCCGCAGCCGCAGAGCCGACAGGCCCCGACACGCTCAGTCTGTGGAGACCGCGCGAGTGACGGAGCTCGGAAATGTGTGTGTGAGGGCGCGGTCGCGACTGCGAGAGCGCGCCCCCGCCGCTCGGTCCCGCGCGCCCGCGTGGGTCCCTAGTGGTGTCCAAGCCACGCCCCGCCTTCTGCAGAGCGCACCTGAGGGCGGGCTTCGGAGAGGACGAGGCGGGGCCACGCGCGCGCTCCCGGCGCACGCAGGGCACCTGGGGGCGGAGCCCCGAGGGGCGGGACAAGCGGGGCGCGCCGCCGCCGACAGTGCACGCGCCTGTCCGCAGGTGCCGGATCCCCGSGAGCCCTGCCACCTGATTAGCCCTCAGGCTCTCGGCGCCTTTGCGGACCTCTAGCTGCCCGATCTTGGCGAAAACTACGCGCTCCCAGTCCGGGCTGGGGTTTGAGTAGCAGCCCTGCGGCCTCCTAGCGGGTGACCTTGAACCCCCGCCCTCACATCCTCCTCCCTGGCCACTTCTAGTTTAGCGATCCTTTCTTATCTGTGACCTTTTCTCCCGGGACTGTGCTTTTGAGTCCCTATGAAGTCCCTACTGCCTCCCGCCCACGTCCTCATTTCCATAATTCCTGCCTCCGCACCAGGAGCTACGTAGCACATCCAAACACTAAGCTTGCTTTTAGTACTGAAGTGCCCTCATCTATGTCTGGGAATGCTGCGGATTTTGGTTTTCCCAAAGGGCCCGAATGTGGCATCTGTCGAAGACTGCATACCACGTTTATTTTTGCTTAAAAAAAAAAAAAAAAAATGCAGTTTGGTGATTGGAGTTTCATTACCTAAAGTGGCCTAAATGGTGGTCAAAAGTTTTTTTTGTTTGTTTGTTTTTTTCCAGAGGGAAAGGAAAGTTTAGAACACCAGCATTTCTTGTCCATAATTCCTTGTAATTATTTTTAAAGACTTCAAATGCTRTGTACACATTGTACGTGTTATCTTGTTTTTTTTCTACTTCTTAAGTCTAAACCGTGTCTCTTCAACATTCATTCTGCTTTCTAAGTTTAAGAAAAAAAAAAAATCGAGGAGTCAAGATTATTTTATTTATCTTGCCCAATATGTACTAAAAGAAAATTCAGAGAGGCTCAACAAGACACATGATGATATACTTTGTCAAAATGTGATCTATTTTGTCTCTCTGAAACATCTAAGACATTTTTTTATTGTGAAATGGCAATTTTTTATTTTTTTAGAGTCGGTATTCAAAACAATGAGTTGTGCATAAAAGATAGCCCCCATTCTTTGTGTCACCCACCAACAAAATGCTGTTCAGCTATATCTCTGAGAAAGAGAAGCATGATATGATAGTCTCACTTTAAGTATTCTTGTAGTCAGTAAGATATTTTTTGTGGCTCAAGCATGCTGATCATTTTATCTACTTTTTTTTTTTTTCAATGCAGTTATCAGGTTAACAAGTACATTAAGAAAACCTGAATTTTTCCACACGAACAGATCATAGCATTCACAATTTTATGGGGTGGGGATCGGCTAAACATCTAAGACATTTTTGTTACACATTCAAAAGAATGCATTGGCAATGGAGTAAGATATTTGGGCAAGTAAATAAATATAAGCCAAAGATAAAATAAATTGGGCTGGGATTGTGGCTCAATGGTAGTGTTCTTGCCTTGCATGTGTGGAGCACTGGATTCGATTCTCGGATCGGATAAAAAATAAAAATAAAATAAAATAAAGGTATTGTATCCATCAACAACAACAACAAAATTAAAAAAAAAAAAGAAGAAGTGAAAAAATGTTACTGAACTCTCCCAATTCTCCAATGGTACTTTTCACTACTAGGCTTAACTTGGCCTGAATTCTGAAATCTACCCATCATTTCTACCACTATTCCAGGCATGTGTTTCCTGAGTTTCTTATTCTGTCAGATACTCAGGAATGACTTGTGATCACAACTTTAGTCTGATTTTCATTGCTGTTACTAATATTATTATTGCTACTACTGCTTATGTTGCAGCAAAAAGAATTTCAAGTATTTGGTCCTTTGTGTTTTCTCCAAACAGAAAAAATAGTCAAGGAGACTGATATTTGAAGAATRTAAAGCCAAATTTGATATTTAAAATTCAACAACCCAACAAGTGTTTAGAAAGTGTCTGGTAGTCTTCTTTAATAATAACTCCAACTTTTCAGGTGAACAAAAAAAAAGTTTTTAAAAAAGTAAATCAATAATTATTCTGAGAGATCGAATGATAGTCACTAACTGCATAAATCTGGGCATGGTGGCACACACCTCCAGTCCCAACACTCAGGAGGCTGAGGCAGGACTATTTCTTGAGCTTAGGAGTTCTCTGTCATTCATTCTGTCTTCTTACACTTCAACTTGCTTCAAGATGAAATGAACAAAACCCAATTCTTCTTCTAAAATGATCATCCCTGATCAAATGATCTCACTCTCCTCTGAACAGCTCACATGCTACCATCCTGTTTACATCACTTTATTTATGTGCTACATCTCTTCAATTAAATTGTAAATAGCCTGAACTTTTCCATATGCAAATTTAATTTCCAGGTCTTATGCATTATAACATATAGTAAATGCTGATGATACTACTAATGAGAAAAAAATCTGTACAAGAAAGATTATGCAAATATTACTGCTATTATCCAACCCCCCAAAATTTTACTACTCACTCTACAAAAATCTACCTAGTCATAGAGAACATGTTAAATTCTTGTTATAGGATGATTTTCAACATTAAGACAGTAATCAGGTTGTAAGAATAATTAAAAAAATACTAAAGACCTTTTAATTAAAAAATTCTACCAAATAATGCATGAGTGATGATATATTGTAGTGTCTCTTTGAAAAGGTACCTGTCAGATGACTGATATTTTGTAAACAAGTTAGCCACATAATCTCAATCTAAATTTCCATAGCTACCGAGTTTTAGTATTAAATAAGCAGCTGGAGAGAAGATGTTTCTTTCTGGTTTTCTGTATCTAGGAAATAGATGCCATCCTGCTTGGTTGTCATGGTGGCAACCCAAATCCCCACATCTCATTAGTAGATGTTTTAAACAAATAAATCACACGGGGATACACAGATCAGAGGAGTTATAGCTTGAGATTTAACAAGTTGCCTCACGGTACAAAATTAATAGTGAAATGGAATTTTGACAGTATTTAATGTGGATAAAGAGAATAAAAATTGTTACCTAAAACATAAAACTGCAACCCAAACTCCCACTGGTAAACAATAGGTCTCACTTTCTTTTTTCCTTGCTAAATACCAAATGGATTTGCTAGGCCATTATTGCCAAAATTAAAAGCAAAATTGCTAAAATCATTACAATAACTTTTTTCTCATGTTCTTAGTACATTATTTCCCATGACTAAAATATACTGAAAATTATATGCTCCACTTTTAAATATGGTCTGATTAAACACTATTATTACTTGTTTTTAAACACTTACCATTTCTATATGTAAAGAAAGGTGCCAAGAAAAGTCATGTGGTTTCTAAATTCAGGGCTTAAAGTAGGTATAATTTCAAATAATTTCAAATTGGTACCTTGGTCTAGAAAGAGGCAGCATAAATACAGAACTACAGACTTGGCTGAAAGTAAAAGGGAATCAAGCACCTTTAACACTAGAATTCCAAACTACCACAAAAGCAAATGTGGCTGAAATTGTAATTAAATAGCTTAGGGAATGTTTAATGTTGGGTAAAGGGTTGAGGGGGTGGAGAAGGGAATAACTTCTGATGGTAACTTTAGTTTGATTGTCATTGCTATTACTAATATTATTATTACCATTGTTTATTTTGCAGCAAAAAGAATTTAAACTATATTATCTCTGTGTTTCTCTAAACAGAGAAATTAGTCAAGGAGACTGATATTTGAAGAATGTAAAGCTAAATTTAACATTTAATATTTAAAATTCAACCACCCAGCTGGGTGTAGTGGTACACACCTGTAATCCCAGGGGCTGAGGAAGATCAAAAGTTCAAACCCAGCCTCAATAAAATATAAAAAGGGGCTGAGGATGTGGTTCAGTGATTAAGTGTCCCTAGGTTCAATCCTCAGTACCAAAAAGAAAAAAAAAAACTCAACCACCCAACAAGATTCTTGCTAAGTAACAACACTGACTTTCCAGGTAAACAAAAAAAAAAAAAAAAAAAAGGAAAAGAAATCAATGATTATTCTGAGATACCTGATAATAGTACCTAAAAGCATCATGCAGAGCATGGTAACATACACCAGTAGTCCTAGCATCCAGGAGGCTGAGACAGGAAGATTTCTTAAGCCCATGAGTTTAAGACAAACCTGAACAACAAAGTAAGACTCCATCCCAAAAACAAACAAAGGAAGTTTTTTGTTGTTGATTTTGATACTGAGGATTTTTGTTGTTGTTGTTGTTGTTGTTGTTTTTGGTACTGAGGATTGAACCTAGGGACACTTGGGATTACAGGTATGCACCACTACACCCAGCTGGGTGGTTGAGTTTTAAATATTAAATATTAAATTTATATTTGTTTGACTCTTAAATTATATAGTACAAATGTGAAATGCTATAGAGAAATAGTGAAAGCAAAATTTACCTAGTAACTTCAAGAGGAAAAGATGAGGAGATGGGTTTAATTAGAGTGACACTGTATAAGAAGGCAGAGAGAAGTAAGCTTGCATGATTTTTTTTAAAGTATAAAATATTTTATTTATGCTGCCTCTTTCTAGACCAAGGTACCAATTTGAAATTCTTTGAAATTATACCTACTTCTCATTCTTCTATTGTACATGATGTAGAACTACACCAGTCGTGTAATTGTATATGCACATAGGGTAAAAATGTCCAATTCATTCTACTATCTTTCCTGCTCCATACTCTGTCCCCTCCCTTCACTCCCCTCTGTCTAATCCAAAGTATCTCTATTCTTCCCTACTCCTTCCCCCGCATTGTAAATTAGCATCTGCATATCAGAGCCTTTGGTTTTGGGGGACTGGCTTATTAAGCTTAGCATGATATTCTCCAGTTCCATCCACTTACCTGAAAATGCCATAATTCCATTCTTCTTTCAGGCTGAGTAATATTCCACTGTGTATATACACCACATTTTCTTTATCTATTCATCTGTTGAAGGGCACCTACGTTGGTTCCATCATTTAGCTGTTGTGAGTTGAGCTGCTAAAATTTTGATGT